TTTCTTTTTGATGCTTAGCATTTTTGTTTTGATGCGTCAGCCCATTTAAAGGTACCCCTAATTTTGGGAAAGCCCCATGGATCCAGGCACGGCCTCTGCAGCTGTCGTCTGGGGTGCATGGGAGTGCCAGCTATTCCTTTGGAAGGCTGGGTCTCAGAGTGTGCGCTTCGCTTGTTCATCCCTTAGGGTGGAAAATGAAATGGAAACTACTATAGTATATTGGGGTTATACTGGGATAATGGAAAATAGAATGGAAGCTATTTAGGTATTTTGGGGGTTATATTGGCATAATGCAGTCATGGTGCTATGACAGGTGGCTTCTGTGGATTAGGTCATGAATCCTATAGTGAATCAGCAAGGGAGTTTCGAATGGTCCCTTCGTCAGAGTTCCGGCAACCAGTGGCCTAATATTGCCCGGGGTCATACCAGACGAACACTTCGTGGGATGAAATGCTCATGCCTTCAAAAGCTGGCGCCGATGAGAATCCCATATATACCGTATAACCCCTATATAAACCCTACATAATCCCTATAGTTTCCATTCTCTTTTCCATTATCCCAATATAACCCCAATATATCTGCAATAAACTCTGCCGGCCCTGGAGGCCGACCCACAAGAAGGGCAAATTCCAGGCCTTTCAGTTGGTAGGGTTTGCTGTGATGCAACGCAGTGAGCTTTGGTCAGGTTCCTGTGCTACAAGTTCGGGATGCTGAATATGGTACTGAAGGCGAGTGCAATCCCCAGCTTTGGCTGTGACACCGCCTTTGCAAGCTTTGGACCTGCTTGCTTTGATGTCAAATTTGTGGCTGACTTGTGGGCCCTTGAGATGAGACATGTTTTCGCAAAGCGTTCCAAGTGACTGCCATCAATATCAGCCCACGATAAGTGTGCCACATCTTTGGTGACGTTGGCAGACAGCCTCAGCAACACACTTGCCCTTGCCGTTCAAATTGTTATCGCGTGCTATCTACGGATTGCAATGGATTCGGCAATGCTGCCGCTGCGATTCCGCAGAATTGCGCGGACGCTGGTTCTACTGGTGCATGAGCAGAATTGGACAATTTGCTCGTCCGTGATCGTAGGCCGCCAACAGAGCGGAAATCTCGGCTTGCTTGCGTGATGTTTGCAAGGCAGTGCTGCAACATCTCGGGTCGTATGTCTTCATTCCGTTGAGATTTCGACCAGCTTCTTCGGACTCTTGGCTCTAATCTTTTCTTGATGTGATTGTGCACACGATTTGTGTGCTGCCTGACAAGGACACTGGACGAGAGGTGACTCAGGTGCAGAGACCTGTCGTGGCAACCCAGGAGCCACCCGTGCAGGAGCCACCAGTGCAGGAGACAGCCCCCCAAGCAGCCGAAGAAGCTGAAGAGGAACATGTTCCGATGCTGGTGGAGGCATGGATTTGCCCATGTCTGCGTGAGCGTGTTTTCAGCAATGCGTGGCATCTCATAGCATAGTTTTTTTGCTATTGCCACAACCCTCCCCCAGGTAGAAGAAGGCCTGGAGGTTGCGGCCAAAGACTACGTAGTCGACCTCAAGAAGGAGATCAGATCTTGCTGTAACCTCAGGGCCCAGTACTTGGAGAGCATCCTTCAAGTTCAAGCAGTAATTGCTGTTTGATGCATGGTTCCTTGTCGTAGAAAGCTGACATGGATAGCGCAGGAGTTGACCATAGCATCGCAGCGGCGCAACGAGCAACGAGTCTGCAAGGTGTGAAAGGCTTTGACCAGGCTGTGAAAAGGGCATTGCCTCTAGGCACTTCTGGGCCCTAAACCCTAAATAGTAGTTTCCATTTTTCTTTTACATTATCCCAATATATCCCCATATAACCCCTATATAACCCCTATAAAAACCCTATATAACCCAAGGACAAGCATGGTCAGCATCCTGAATCATTTTGGGCCCAACTCCCGGGATTCCTGGCTGGCCTCGCTGCTGCGCCAAGCCTTGGAAGACATCCTCCCGGAGCTTTCGGGTGCTGAGCTTGGCTTCCTAGTGCCACTTGGCAAGAACTGAGTTGCTGTTAAGGAACTGAATATAGGAGTTTCCCCAAATTAGGGGTACCTTATTGGGGGTTCCCCATATTAAGGATTATAGTATATTGGGGTCTATATTGGGGTACCCTAATTTTGGGAAACTACCATATAATAACTACTGTATTGGGGAAACCCCTATACTATTGGTCACTATGCATACCCATTAGGATAACTTCGTTTAAGTTCCTTAACAGCAACCCAGAAAAGGCTTTGATACCGCAAGGCTTGTTATGCCATCTGAAGATCTCCAGCCAACAGCTTGATTCCAATCAGCATCAGGGCACGAACCCTAAACCCTGATGGAAGTCTGGTCCAAGGATGTCCATGGCCTACTCCGAGATCCGGGCCGTTCCCCGCCCAAGAAATATTAGGGTTTTATTGCGGAAATATATTGGGGTTTTATTGGCACAGATTGACTGTAGTAAGGGATTGCAAGCGGAACCACGCCATTGCATGCGCTCAGGCAGCAATTTGGCACATGCTGGCAGAGGCTGCCATTGAAGCTGCGTTAATTGAAACGCATCCGCGGGCGCTTGCAGAACTTGCATTCGGCTTCGCCCCTCGGTTCTCAAAGCTGTGCCGCAGCACGCCAGCTTGGTCTTTCACACTGTCTGGGGTAGCTCTGACATTCACATTGGCAGTGCCTTGATGTAAAAACGCTGAGGCATGGGTCCAGTGGCAGCAGCCGGACTTGTTCGCCGTTTTGCAGGTGGCCATGGGCTACTGCAAGGAGTTGCTTGGATATGCAGCAACAATTGCCTTTGTGCCTAGGGGAAAGTGACGCGGAAAGTGAGGATGCCGTGTGCATCTGAGGACGGTTACCGAGGAGCAGAAGCGCGCTTTTGCTTGGTCCTGCAGTCGTGCCCAGCAGCCATGCACCAAACTGTCTCTAGCCGGCAAGCTGAAGCGTTTTGTGACCTGCCCTGAATTTTTCATGCACCATCGAGAGGTTTGGCAAGCCTTCGCCACTGGTGAAGACGAGCGTTGCCTCCAAGTTCTGGGGCACACTGATGAGTGCCTCAACTTGGGAGTCTGCCGATCTTTGAGTTGTAGAAGCAGCATGCCTGACTTGTCGTCGCTTTTCTGCTGCAAGGCCTGTCCGGCGCAAAGTCCAATGCGAAGACTTTGATGGTTGATCCAGTGCCATTGCTGCTTCTGCCGGAGGATGGGACTGCATAGGGTCACCATCCAAGTCCTCATGTCTTGATAAGTCAAACGCGTCTGGTCAGCTTGATGTTCCCATGTGCGGGCCATTTTTGCATTCGAGCCCGGCGGTGTCCTTCCGGCATCTTGCGCAGGCCGTGCCTGCGAAGCATTGCGATGCGCTTCTGCAGCTTGCAGATGCGCAGAAGCTTTGGATGAACTCAAGTCTGCCGCTTAAGAATTGGTTCCATGGCTAAGTGTAAGCAGGACAGCAGGATGCAAATTTGTTCAATGTACCTTGCATCGACAGTACCCATTGCTGTGCCACATGCATTCGAACATGCCCAGTATCGGCCGATAATGCTTTGATCAGGTCAGCTCATCGCCACAAACGACAAGGCAACTCGCCAGGAGATCTTGCGCTCATCGCGGACCTCCTCTACAGCCCTGCTTGCCTGGCATGAATCCCATCCATCAGTCTCTTGGCTGAATGCTTGAGTCTGCCTGCAGAGCCCTACCGAAGAAACTGGCACTGTCTTCCAGTGCTTGGAAATCTTTTCCTGCCACAAATCAGTCCCCAGAAGAATAGATGCTCCACGCAGAGATTCCCCGATTCCTGAAGCTCCCTGAAGCACTACTTCCGAAGGGGCCAGGGGTCCGTTACACCGAATCATGGCGGTTTTTAAGGAATTTCCTAGGTCGGTTGATCTTTAAAGTGCGGTTTTATGAAGGAATCCATAGAATGAATTTATTGAAAATCTTCACGGAATGTTCGCTCTCCTTGATTTCTTGATTTTCTATCGCTTGTTTATGGGGTAGCTTTTAATTCAGGAGCTCACATCACCTTTTTGATGTTTTTTTATAAAGGGGGTGTGCAAACGAACCCGAAGGAAATCTAATTCGAATTAAGGATCTCCTTGTTTTCCTCGGCGTTTGTTGGTTTTATGAGGTTTGAACAAAGAAATTTGAATGCTAGAACTCAATGGAAATCTAGTTAACCAGTAATTACAACTTACAACTCAGTATCTCGTTTTTGTACTGGAGGAAGTTGTAATGAATTTCGATGATACCGAAAGGCAATCCCCTTAGTCACTTGCAGAAAGGGTCTCCTTTGCCTCCTAGTTGAAGAATTTTTATGCCGGAGCTACAATACCCCCCTCCCACAACTCCACGGAAGCGATTAGCGATTATGTGCTTTCAGGCAAAAACTTGGCCACCACTTGCAAAACAGGTACGACGTTTAGTTTAATGTCACTCATTGCCCCTCGACCAGAAAGCAAAACCTTCTGCCAAGAGGGTTGCCTTCATACCTGTGGATCGCAGTTTTCAGACGACTGGCAGTGGGCAGATACTGGACAGGTTTCCTGGGAAGGCCCTGCGCGCTGCTCCGGAAGAGAGTTTCACAAGTAGCAAGATCACGCATAGGAGCACTCCATGTGTGCAAGCCCTTGACTGCTTCAATGTCATGGGTACTTACCCAAATGATTGTTCCATTTGGGTACCCCGAAATATTAGGTGCCGTAATATAGCCTCTAACCAAAAGGTGTCCATACTTTTGCGAACAGCCCAGGTCAGGGCTGTGCGGGAGTGGGCTGCCCGTACGCTGCAAGTTCCGGAGGACTTTATCGAGCCGCTGCAACTTGTCCGCTACACGCCAGGTCAGAAGTTTGGAATCTTGGATGCAAATAATAACAGTTAATAATAGTAGTAAAAATAATAGTACTCATAATTGTAGTGTTCCTGCTGGCTGCTTGCGACGCAAGCCTTTCCTCCATGTGATCTGGACATGACTTGTACTAAGTCATTGGCTTTTCAGACTGTAGACATGCGCACATGTGGAAGGAAGGCATGTTGACTGGGTTGGTGAAAAGCACCCTGGTCTATGGGCGTTTGGCCAGCGCATGGCATCTTGGTCGAACGAAGACGAGATGCACAGGCATGTGATGTTTCCACCCAGACCTATGCCTAGCAGCATCAGGCGACCATGCTTGTGTACCTGAACACGGTGCCGGGAGGCGTCTAGCAACGAAGCTGTTAAAGCAAGAACGCACGCATGTCTGACAGTGGTTGGTCGCTCCTGATATGTCTCGGCCACACGCAGGTGCAGGCGGGGAGACCTCCTTTCCAGAGCTCAAGCTGGAAGTCACTCCGCAAAAGGGCACAGCGCTAGTTTGGCCCAACGTGGATGCCACAGGCCAGCCGCACCTCAACTTTGTCTCGGCCAATTTTTAGGTTCTTGCACTTGGCAGCCGTCGGTCTTTGGAACACCAACCGGCAAAGCTGCCAGCTTGAATCTTCAGTCTATCTGGATTGTGCAGGCGCTCCAGAAGGGAAAGTATTACACGAAGCTCTTCCTGTCAATGGCAACCAGGCCTTCACATGCTGTCCCTGTCTCATGTTGGCATGTCTCAGAGATTCCAAGTCAAGCTTCCAGCGCAAAAGTCTTGATGGACACATTCCTGCGGGAAACTGCAAAATCACCTAAGTCCTCGGACCATGCAAGTGACAGAACCCACAGAGGCATGCTGGCATGTGCTGGCATAGTAGACTTGGGGTCAAGCACAACCTAGTGGATGATCAGATCTTGGTCATGCAATTACCTCAGGAGGCCCTTTCAAGACACCACCGTCTCAGTAGGCTGTGACCGTGTACTGCTGAATGTCCAGGTGAAGTATGCGATGAACATTTGGGCCCGTGGACGATCGCAGCCCGATCAGAAATGGATCAAGTGGCACCGCTGACTGGGACTGTTTGCCGGCGAATGGAATTTTAAATGCACTGAATTTGGTAGCTTCCCACAGGCGCAGCTCAAGCATTGCGATCCATGATGTTATCCCTCAGTATTGGAAGCTCCCATTTACGTTTCGAGCTCTGATAACAGATCCGGAGGGCCCAGTTCCTTTGGTCACGACGGAGTCGAATCAGCGGGAAAGGATGTGAAATGGGTATCTTTGAAGAAAGCCGGGTATTTACATTGGGGGCTCTTTCATTCCCAAGTTTGGGCTGGGGGATCCTTCTCTTGAAAGATGCCCATGCCACAGCAACAGACCAAACTTGGTCTGAGCGTAGCAGTTGTGGCGTTGGCCCTGGCTGTACAGCGAGAGAGGTTCACTGAATCTCCACTCGCAGCTGCGCAGTGGTCCTTCCTCAGCACTACTTCTACAGCGTAGCGGTGATGGCATATTATTAGGGTTGTCAAATGTAAACGGGGCTCACGATCCAGCGAAACAGCTTGAGCATTTGCGGCAGCTCCGGTGATTCAATGGCGCGGTGGTTTGAGAAACTCAGAAGAGTCTGGCAGCGATACCGGGGGTAGAAATCACGGATTGGTCCTAGAATGTCCTTGCGTGGTCACGAAATGTTGTTTCCTTTTCTTGGCATGTCGCTGCCAGGACAAAGTCTTAAGATCTGACTCTGACCCTCCGATGTGCATTGCCCAGATTGGTCGACACGTGGCATCTTTTTCCAAAAGCCGTTGGCCGTTGGCCTTCTGCTTTTCCAACTCCAGAAGTCCAGAAGCGTCAAGATGCTCCTGGAGAATCTGCTTGCTACAAGCCTCCGCTAAGGCTTAGGTCTGCCAAAGAAAGATAGACGCCCTGCTGCTTCTTGAGCATCGGCAGTGAAACCCAGATAGATTTAACTGCCACGGCCTTCGACTCTAAATTCGGCTTAGCCAGTCTGGCAGCTGCCAACTTTCTGACCGAGGATTACCCCTGGTGCTGGACATTACAGCCTGCCTTCGGCGACCTTCCCAGAGGCTGAGATCTCGCGCAGGGTCTAGGGAATCGCCAATAAACAGCAGTTCTGCATAACCAAGTTCATGGGCAAGGACAGCTGCTTGCATGTCGGCTGGCGCTTTACACTTGGGCCGCAGGTTGTGGAGCATGGCGGATCTCAAACAGGCCATTGAGACGTGCATGCTCAGGTATCATGCCTAGCCCCCCCTCGCACATCCCTTGATTCTGCACGCAGCCTCTCCTCTCATTCTCCCTGGTGCTTAGTAGGGACTGGCAGAATGGATCCCTATAGTAGTCCCCTTTTTCATCCCCAATAGTAATCCCTATAATCCATTCCGCATTCCATCCTAAGCACCAGTCATCATCATATGCGGGATGATAGCGAGCTAAGAAGGTGGATGGAAGTATGCAGAGCACAAAGCTTGGCACTTACGCTGCCGTGTTTGCGCACTTCTGACCCATAATAGTATAACGCTAAAATAGTATGAAAATAATAATTGAATAATAACAGTATAGTGCCAATGCTAAGAACAGTAATCGTGGGTTCCATTGTGTTTCAGAGCACCGCTTTGGTTCCGCATGGCTCGCTAGTCCAATCTTCACAAATGGCCATGTCTGCTGCAACTGCAGTTGTTCATGGAGTGCTTGAAGGCGCACAGGCGCAATGCTCAGCCCATTTCAGCTGCTTCCTGCATGTTGTCTTGTTGCTTTGTCGTGAACCCGCAGCTTTGCAGTTATATTCTTTTTGAGCATAGGAACCCCAGTGCAAGCTGACATAGACTCTATCATGTTCCGCCAGATGCTAGCTTGGCACAGGCATAAGCCGACGCAACATTTCTTCGAGCACTTGTACCATGCCCCTTGGCAGCTTGCAATGGGGACTGCTGAGCACCCTTTCTGCTTGTTGCAGTGTATGCTGCGACAGTCTGGAAGCGACTAAGGAGATGCCAGATATGCCTCGCCGCAGACCTGGTGCCATTCACGATAGTAGCCGCTTTGGCAGAGTTCTGGCTTTGTTGGCGGCCGCAGTGGTGTGTAAGCAGGGTGGCGTTGCATAGAGCCAGGTACGCATGCTGAGAGCATCAGTTGGGCCAGTCTTGGTTTTGATGTTAGCGTGAAGCACTGACGTGTTGAACCAGGACTGGAAATCGTGGACCATGTTCACTGGCTAGCAAACTTCTACTTTCATTTGGAGGGCCTGGCCTGTTTGACATTCATAAACCGCGCCATTTTCATAGTCGCTTCGCAGCGAGGACAAGCTCAGATGTCATATGGCAGGCCCAAAAACAATGGAACATTGACAAATACGAGGACGACAAGCAGGCAGCAGAAGTTTGCTTTTTGGACAAGTTGTTGGGCATCTCGATTAGCGCATAAATTGCACGATGATGCTCAGACATACTGAATTGGATTCATCCCGCGGCCACTGCATGTGCTTAAGCCACCGCCACAGTGTAAGCCGCATCTTACTTTGCACCGAAAGATTGGCACAGACTCTCCGCATTCTTCTCTGAGACAGATAGCGCAGACAGCGGACATCACACTCAAGACATGACTAATCATCAGCAGACAAGCACTAGGAGCCTCACAGCTCGCAGCCAGCCTTCGAGTTGCTCAAGGAGAATATTTAGCTGAGTCTGACCTCTACCTAGTCGCTAGGGTATTATTGGCAAGTCTCTCCCTATGGCTTCTGGCCCTCCCAAAGAGCTGCCTGCAAGATCACGAGAGGGCTGGGGCCTGTTTATCAGCGGTCTTCCCGAAGAGGCCGCAGCTACCTTGCTGCTCAGTTTCGCAAATTTCGGGAATTGCAAAAAGACATCAGAGCTGTAGACCCGCGGTTCCCATTCGCTGTTCTTCTGGTGCTACATGACCCTGAGCTGAGCAGAATTCCAGTCCTAGATTATACGCTGCAGAGGTCGAGGAAGATGACTTGGACGAAGCCTTTCGGCCGTTTGGAACCATCATGAGCCTACACCTCCCCTTGAACAGGACGCCGGTCCAGGTTCTAGGTTTGTAAAGGCTTCTGGCCTTGCTTCTCCAAGTGCGGATACTGTGCAAAGGGCAGTGCGCGGTTTTGTCCGGTCACAGTACCAGCTCAAGTGAACCTGCAAGGATGACTGGGGAAATCAAAGGCATCTGGGCGGCAGCTTTGAAATTGTCCCCACAAAAGTAGCTAATCCGGCGGCCATTGTCCGTGTGGTGTTCATCAGGTAGACGATCTGGGACACTAATTCTGCGTTGAACGATGAAGCCTGGGTTAAGAAGCAGAGGTCACAGCGTTTGCCCTGCTAGTTGGATCCGGAATCTGTAAACTGACCCATTACATGTACAGGGCCCATAGATGATGTTCAACAACGATAATGTCTGTATGCAGCCATAACGCCAACTCCACAACCTGGATCTTCGTGAGTGGCCCCTCAGGTTTGGGTTGAAAAGGGCCTGTAGGAGATGGCAAGGTTACTGCATGCTGGACTATGCAGAGTACGAGCAAGCCTCCTCGGCACTCGCGGCGATGGATGGCAAGCAATTGTAGCTTGGCTGCCTCAACACATTTGAGCTATGGTCCTCAAAGGGGGTTCTTTAGGGGATATAGGGGAGTATTATAGGGGATGTTAAGGGGGATACTAGGAGTTTGGACTAGAGCTCATTTCAGGTTTTCAGGGACTGGTGCTTTTGAGCTGCTTGCTCCGCCTGGCAAGCTGTGATTTGAGGAAAGGACGCAGCATCAACGTCGCATGGCTCTGCAAGGACTCGAACTTACTTGCTTTTGCCCAGCTGGGAATAAAGGAATGGAAAAGAATGGAGACTACTGTAATGGGTTATGTAGGGACTACCAGAAGGATCCATTCCTTCATTCCCAGCTATCCAAAGGCTAGCCTATCTGTACCTAGGCATGTCTTGCTGACACAGGACGGAGAAGATCCCAGCCTGGCAAAGACTCCAGCGAGATCACGTTCTCCACGCAGAGAGTTGAAGGAGCCCAAGTGAGTCGGCTCTGGCAATTGCGTTTTGGCGCTGGTCCAGCGAAGCACGATGGATCAGAAGTTTGTCGACGCAAAAAAATTGCTGGTTGAAGAGATGAACCAGATGACCTGGCGATCATGTCACATGTAAGGAGTACAAGAGTACCTAGGCCTTTCGAGGCGCTGCGACGGCTTTATCTTGAGCAATCAGCAGTGATCAATGTTCTCTATGTCAATCTCCCATGATGTCACTGAACATGCCTGCAGTTGGCGGCCATGCAGAAGACGCGCAAGTTCCCTTCAATTGAGGTGCCTTGGGAGTCTGCCTCCGACAGGGGTTCACGGGATTCCCTTGGCTAAGATGGTGGCCGGGCCAGTTTCATCCCGGCTTGCAATCCATATCTATGGGGGCTTCTCAGGCTTCATCGTTCCTTTACAGGGGGGTCATGCAAAGAGGATTTTGTAAGCTTTTGGCGAACCCTCACCTTGATGAAGGGCCATTTCCTCCTGACAGGAACAGGAGCAGAAGGAATGGATGCACCGGCAGGAAGTGATGACCCAGCGAAGGCGGAGCAACGGCATGGATTCCTGCCCAACTTTTCACAAAAACGTCGTTGCTCCAACAGGAAGCGGGATGAGCTCCATGCTTGGGCTGACCGTGAGGCCTCGCGACACGACACCGCGGGCTTTTCAAATTGCTTTGCGAGCAGGAGCGGAGGTTGGGCCTGAAGCGCATGGAGGTCAAGGCTGATGCTTGGAGCTCAGGATAGCTGAGGCCTTGCCTGTTCAGAGCGCATTTTATGTGTGACACCGAGTCTATGCGCTTATGAAAGCTGCCAGAGACTAGAGACTCAAATCTTGCTGAGTTCCAGCCTCACCAGCGCTTCCAGGGCGAGGTGCGGCCCCACTCATTATAGGGGATGGAGGACTTCAAAGGGAAGCATGGAGCAATTCATGCAGGTGGTGGAGGCCAACATTCGTGGACCTCATCCTGGTCTTAAACGATCTCCAGGGCAACACGCTCAGAGCAGTTTTGAGTTGAACCCACAGGCTTGGCTCCATTGCATAGCTCTGCGATTTCAAGGGAAGCTTCAATCATTCTCTCTTGGGCCAACAATCCCTCCCCTTCTAATAAACCCGCAAAACCCCACTTCAATCATGATACGCCAAGCTCCGCACTGCAGAATTTTTGCGGAAAGGGTTGGTGGATGGGTTTCTAATTTTCATGACAACCATGCTACAATTAAAGCCATTGCTCGTCTGTGCCAAGGTACACTTGGTGCAACTCGAAGGAAGTTCGTGATCTGTACCTTGGTCTCTTTTTGATACCTAGGCACAGCAAATCCTAAGCCCTAAGCCCTAAACAGTAGTTTCCATTTTCTTTTCCATTATCACATATAACCCCCATATCACCCCAATCGGCCTGGCCTAGGCAGTCAAAGCATTTCACGGACCTGAGTCACGTGCGGTGGTCACCTCAATGCTGGTGCAGAAGAAGCTTCGCCCAAATACCTCAACCTGCAGGTCTTCCTCACATCTTGATGGTCCTGGGCCAGGTCAATACCTAGGCTGTTGCTGTTGCCGTTGTGTTTCGCATGGTCTTGAGTCCTGACGTGCAGACGCAAGTTGTGTCCGGCTGCAGCCAACACAATCATAATAGGATGTTCTCGTATCGCAGTACCTTTGGCCCGGGCATGTGGTTTTCCTGAGTCTAGCAACCAAGTACAGAGCATCCTGTGATAATGGGTTTTGGGCTGCTGGAAGTTTGGACGTTCACTGCCTTCTATGCCATGGAAACTTTGGACGCTCAGCCTCATGTTGTCGTGGTCGGCGAGCAGAGCATATTACGGTAAAACAGCCTCTGCTGCATTTCTGGTCGGCTGCATCTTGTAATTTGCATGAAGCCCGGGACTGCCAAGTCAAGGGCAAGTGTTCAACCAGCGGACACATTGACAGGAGATGTCGACACAAGCCGAAAGCTGCAGCAACTGGCAGTGGAGCTCGAAAGCGCCCTACGCACCCGAGCACGACGCTCCACATCTCAGACTTCCCGGGCCTCATCTCGATCAGGCAGGAGTCCCAGCGTCGCCCTCGTGGAGGCCAAAGCAGACAAGCTACGAGCTGATCGGCTGAGAGCACAACAGGTAGAAGCCAAAAGACCAGAATCTGTATCCAGAGCTTCAGCAGCGGCTAAAGCCCAGAGCCGGCTGGAGGCCTCCAGATCGCGGACGCCTTCTTTCAGTGACCCAGCCAGGCCTGTGACGAAGTTTGGGCAGCGGCCATCTGCGAGGGTCAATAGATTGATCTCTGGCCAAGCGCGGGGACAGCCGCAGGAAAGATCCTCCCAGAGCACAGCATATCTTGAAGCGACATCACATAATCCATCGGACAGACGGTCTCTTCCGTCCCCATCGGCTAAAGCGAATGCAAGACCGGATCCTCAAAGTGCGCTGCGTTCAGTTGCTCGTCAAAGACATGGCATAAGTGGGAATGCAATGCATCCTGGACCAACTGATGAACTTCAACCTTGCCCCATTCCTTCATTACTTGCCTTCGTTTGCTGTCCTAGGTGTGTAATTTGATGCCATGTAATGTGGTTCAGCTGGCATCTTAGGAGCAAGCTTCGTTCGCGAGGCATGCAGAAGCAGAAGACATGTCGGGAACGCCGAGCAAAAGACCATCTGTGAAGAACAAACTAGATCTCGTAGCGGTGCCTCGGCTGACGGCCCCAAACTTTCGGGGGGCCAAGAGCAGCAAGTCTGTGCTTCATGATATCTACACATTTAAGTAGCTTGAAATATTTTTTGCATGCGCCCAGCTCATGCCCGATTATTTTGCTTGATGCAAGCCCAGGACCCTCAAGAACCAGGCTCCTCCACCGGCATGCCCGCAGCGACAACAGACGCCCGAGCAGTAGAATCACCGAAGCCAGCGGAGACAAAGCCCGCTGCGATTGCATCCGGAAGATCGTCTGAGTCTGCGGCCCGTCTGAGTTCTGGATGTCTAGAGACTACCCCAGTACCCCATGCTAGCGCAAAAGCACAGATTCTTCATGCTGAGGCAGGGCTGCGAACTCTTGTTCCTATCTAAGGTGCAGTCGCAGAAGCGGACATCTGGAAAGCTCGAGCAGCCTGGGTCCTCATCAGCCAGCGCGGTGACAGGGGAAACACCGGCAAGCTTGGAGGTGGCAGCTGGGCAAAGCCCTTTCAAAGCTTCCTCCAGCAGCGCTCCCCGGCTTTCAATAATTTTTGTCCACAAGTCTATGTGTTGCATCCTGGGCACGCTGGCTGAGAGGCTGCAAAGATGTTTCAAGGTTCTGGAAATCACTCAGGTCCAGCCACGGCGGTTTGCTTTTCAGCAACAAGATTTCCCTGATGATGGACCCCAGCTTCCAGGGACAGGCACCAAAGACATACACATGAGCCACATAAGTGCAGAAGCGGCCGGCGAGTCAAACGTTCACGACAGAAGATCCTCCCACCTAGCTCCTGAGCCGCATACGCCAGACCTTGCTTGATTGTTGTCTGACTGCGCTGAAGCTAATCAAGTCTGTGCTGTTCATGTACACTGGAGGTTCCACCACCACAGCGAGTCATTGCAGAGAAGCAGCCCCTGCCCGTCAGACCTTCTTTCATGGAAACTGGTGCTGCTGGAGAGTTGCAGATGCCGGAGCTTCAGGCTTTCGCCGCGGCCTAGTTGCATTTGGAAGCTGCCGGCAGGCTCTGCAGAGTTGACCTGCAGTGCAGCATTCCAAGGCAGAGTCGCCCTCTTCCACACCTGCAATTCCAGAAGCGGATTCTCTTGAAGATGCAGACTCGGAAGAAGGGCAACTTGAGATGGCACCCTGTCTGAGAGTAGCATGTGCCTGGACCACCTTGCCTCAGTCTCTAGATGCATCGTGCGTTACGCGAGTCCACACATCCTAGCCTGTTGTTGGCATATTCTCTTTGCGTGGCGCCCCGCACTGAATTTTGCTTGCTGCCAGGCATGGCCGCAAGGGCAACCCGAAACTGCTGACCTGCAAGATTTCAGCGGGGCTGCGCAGGGGAGGGGAACCTATGAAGCGTTCGTGAAGGAATCTCGTGGCAAGACGCTGGCAGATTCCGATGATCTGGCACTCTGGCATCGATTATTTCTGTTAAGTTGCGTTGCTTACGTCTGCGTCGCGCTTGTGCAATGAGAAACTCACAGATTCTAGTAGCTGAGGGTGGCTCAGATGAACGGACTGAAGATGGAGCCATGCCAGAGGCTTGGCCGGAATCTGAAGCCTCCTTGAGGCTGGTGTCCACCCACAGGGCTTCCTGGCACAGCATTGCCTTACTGGGGGGTTTAGTAGGGAATAAGGGAATATGCAATATTGGGGTTATACAGTGAGTAATTCTTTTCTTCCCCACTAACCACCACTGCCTTGCATCGCCTCTGTGAGTCTATTAACGGCACGTCGGGGTATTTTGGGACCTTCTGAACAAGTCATGGCCGTCACGTGCTCGTTGCCAAGCCAAGGCTAGTCTGCACACAGATCTCCCAGAGGAGCAGCTCACAGTTGGATTTTTGCAGCATGCAGACCAGGGAAACTTATTCATGTAATGCGAGCAGGTTGTTGGTGCGTGTGATCAAGCCTCTGCCTGGGAGTGCCAGGAGTTCCACAAGAGCAGAAGCAGACTCAAGGATGACGACTCTGACAACGATTCCCTTGGAGCGGGAAGCAGACACATGCTGACCGATCGGCAAAGGAATCTTGTTTCTGCACGGCGCATTGTGAGTTTCCTGACCAGAACGCGAATTGCATGCGTGGCCTGGCTGAACTGAAAGTTTTGGATGTCTGTGCCAGCTGCGCCAGCGAGCCCCCGGTCTAAGCACACCAGGATATCGCCCTCGTGGCTTTGGCATGGTTCCAGACGTCGAGACTTGGAGCCCATTAGATCTTGCATGCTGCGATGATCGTATGGGCAATTGATCGTCCCCGAAAACTTCGCCATGAGCATCCTTCTTTGGCCGCGGCCCAGGCGGAGGAGAGCAGACCGACCAGGACCTCCCTTGGCGAAGGTCTTAACTCTTCGCCTGACAAGCCTCGGCAGTGATGCTTGGAAAGAATCATTAGCATCCCAAGACGGCGCTGTTGAGCTTTAACAGGACACCTCTGCCTGGAGTCTGATGTTGTGTGGAACAGCCTGAGTAAAGCTAGACTGCCAGTTGGCAGCTGATTGCATTTTACGCTGCCGCTGTGCAGCATAGGAGACAATGTGCACCGCTGCGTGGGCGGCGCGATGGTTCGAGTTGCAGAGACGGTTGAACCGCGCGCGATCCCTTGCGCTAGCCGCAGCGCGGAAGCATCATGCAGTCGACAACGCCTCTAGTGCAGTGATGCTTGCATTGCAGCTAGTCTTGGGCTGCCGTGTGCGGAATCGAGTCGCACTTTGCTGTGAGGGTCATGTAAGCGCTATAACACAAGGAGTCATTTGCTGGAAGCCGCCTTCTGGGTGGTTCGTTGGTTTGAGGTCTACCGAAAGGCCTATGCCTACAGAGCAGCGTGTAGGACCCTGACACATTTGCTGTTTGCTTCTTTCGCGCGCCCTTACTCGTGGGGCAATGCAGAAGTTATTTATGCTCCTCCGTGGGCAGGTGCACATCGCAAGGCAGGCGGCTCTTTATGTTGCGCGCACGCCTGAAGCCCAGACTGCCTGGCGCTACAGCAAGGTTTTAAGATCCCGAAGTGTTTCGAATGTTGAGAGGGCGCATGGCTGCCGGAGTGTCAAACGTGCATTTCACGGGCGTGATTATTTCGGCCCGCCTGTTTGTTCAGTGACTCCTGCCGATCCACATGTGACAGCCGCGATGGCGCAAATACAGAAGCCATTAGACTCCAGAAGACCATGAACTCTTCACCTCAATCAGTCCTGAAGTAGGTTCTGGTTCATGTCAGGTATGTTAGCTGAAGTCCCTGACCATCATATATCCGATTGCTGATTGCGCCCACCATGCCTGTGTCTTCCTGAGGGCTGCAGCTTAGGCAGCATGCCGCTTCACGAAAACCCGGTGGAATTGCCGGCTTGGCCTGCATTATGTCATCCAAGACTAAGCTGAACAGCACCAGAAGTTGGCTAAGTATCTTGCTCATATGATGGATTTCACGAACAGCAAGTGACCACCTACCAGGCGCTGCCTGCCACAGTCAACTGATGGACAGCCCACACCCGTTGCTCAGGTCAGCAACTACCTGGTTTGCGCAACCTGGGCGCCTTGGGCACAATTGACTGCTCGTCTGTGATCCGGTCTTTATCTGAAATGAGTCATTCTGAATGTCTGAGTGTAGAGCTACATTGATGTCGGATCTGGACTCATCAGAATCAATGCTTTGATCTTCTAGTTGGCTCAGTTGCCACTGACAAGGCAAGACTGGCTGCAGAGGGGCCGAGTATACAAGGCCCCCACAACAACGTGATCCCACCTGCCCCGATCAGTACTTGCTTGTGAAAGACAAGAACTATATAGAACACATGAACAGCGATCAGTCGTTACAGGGGCGTATCCCCTGCAGGCAAAAATGATTCAAGAATGTCTGTTGTCA